CGTCTAAACTAGAACAGTTCCAAACGGAAACAGCCCCGGGTGACCTGGGTCTTACTCTACGATTGTGTCTCCCAAGTCAATTCCGGCTCTGCATCCTCCTTAACTATAATTAGCAAGTACAGTCCCTATTTAAGGCTATATAATTTTGTCTCTTGTGCTTTTAGTATTTGTCCAAAAAGCTTGGTGCAGACCCTGTAGTATTTGGTTACCTACAAACAACATTTGCCATTGTACAGCTCTGTGGGGGGCCAATCTTTGGAAGATTTGGGGATGTGTTCGGTAGTCGAGCTGCGCTTGCCTTGGCATTTTTTGCTTCAGCATTAAGCTACGGTATCCTTGGCATGTCAACTTCTGTAACAATGCTCTTCTTCTCAAGATTACCTTCAATWTTTATGCATTCAATGCAAGGTATTTATCATAATAATTAATCAATTTAATCATGTGTGAATGTATGGATTTATTAGAAATAATTAAATTAATGAAATAGCATATCATTCAAGTATTTTAATCTGAATTCCTACTGTTCCCTCGAGTTCATAAACTAACACAACATATATCTGCCTAGATGGGTCCAGGCTCAAATCTCCACACTTTAATCACACGTGAGCATCGTCTACAATCATGATACAGTTATCATTGAGCGCAGTAAATCACTCTGTAATACAACCATCAAAAATTCTAAAGTTCAAAAGTCAATCAAAGCTTGGACCACACTGATTACACAATCCCTTGACACACATTATATACAACTCATTAGCATACTGGGCCCGCAGTCCTCTCATTCCCATAGGAACACATTTCTCTCTCCATTCCAATACGCTACGCTCCTTGTCCATTACAAGAGAAATCTAGTTTTTTTAATCTGAATTTTTTTAATTAAAATCTGAAAGCTCAGATATCTATTGTCAGTAATTTTTGACTTTTTTGAAATGTTTTATAATAAATAATATAATGATGTTTTAATATTTTCTAGGGTCTCAGATGATTGTTACAGACATATCAACTGATACAGGTATAGCAATCATTTTGTTTTTCATTTTCTTTCTTTTTTGTGTAAATAAATAAAGAAAAAATTAGATACAAACAATATTTGGCAAAAAACTAAATACGTTAATGCTTTCATAGAACGTTCTGGCGCTCTTGGTAAACTAGGCGTGTCATATGCTATTGGTATGGTAATAGGCCCCTTTCTTGGAGGTATACTCACCAAGCAATATGGATTGCAGTTTGCTGCAATGTGCTCATGCGTGTTGTCATGCTGTAGTGTTGCTATGGTAATGCTGTTGCTACCAAGGAATACTAAAGTGCACAGTCAYAAGGAAGTTCACACAGGTATTGATTYGTTTMTTTTCCCATTATTTTTCCATTTTGGTGTGCTTTSAGTCTTCACACATTCAGTCATTCATTTACTCATTCATTAATTACCAGCCAACCATCAATTCATTTTCAATTTTTACTCATTATATAATATTTATTTATCTATCTATCCAAAAAAAAATGTCATCTCATTCATTTGCTCATTCATTCATTCTTTCATTCATTCATCCATACATTCATTCATTCACTCATTCATTCATCCATCCATTCATGCATCCATTATTTCAATGATTCAACTTGTGTTCCTGGAAAATAAATCACATGACATGTCTGCAACTGATATGCAACTTGATTAGTTTGCTAGACCTGGTTGTCAATCATTCCCATTATAAGCTGCAACTGAATAATAATCATTTTTTATGCTTTTTTTTCTTTTCAGAATCTTCTAAATCAAAAGAAAGTGTATTTGACTTTAGAAAAATTCTAGCAATGCTCAACAACCATACAGTTTTATACCTGGTTATACTGAAAATAACTTCAGCAATTCCATTTGGAATCTTTCAATCCATGTTTGCCATTGTTTCAATGAATTATTTCAAGCTGGACCCACAGCATAATGGCTTTGTTCTATCATACGCCGGTACTCTATCCATTGTAAGTTCTTGATTCAAGTGTTATAAATGGTGATGTAAACATAATTGAAAACATRAAGTCAGGTGTCAAAAGTTWCATCMTGGAAGCTAGGACCGAAAGGGCGGGCATGAGATAGAAAATATTATGAGTATAACATTGTAATAGTCAAAAGATTGTCTCTGCACTGAATAAAACATTCTATTGTTTTCACAGCTTGTTCAAGGGTTAGGTGTTGGTTATTTAACAAAGAGGTTCAACGAAACAGATCTTTTAAAGTGTTCTATAGTAGCCATTGCCTTTGCATATGCACTAATGGTGAGTTTGAAAAATATAGTGAGTTAGTAATACATATTTGCATGCTGTGATTGGCTAGCACACGGTCCGGTTTTTCACGATCTGTCCGGTCCGATGGTATCATACATCTAGGCCGCAAGCAAAGTTGCATAAAATACAAATAAAAAAATAWAAATGTTATTTACCGGCTATAGGTCGGKCCRTATAGGAAAMCRCTGCCCTCRGTCTTTTATGTACGGACCTCGCTGCGCTCGTTCMGYACTGTCAAGACCTCGGGCAGTGTTTTCCTATACGGACCTCCCAGCCGGTAAATAACAAATATAAGTTATAARCCATTGCAACTGAAATACTCTCCTTGACATTTCCCTGCRCTATCTTGAAAAGTAGCTGTGCCTTYACATCAAATTGAARTGATGGAAYATTACAACCATTAAGAGAGTTCACCTTTCAAGATGGTGTAGAGAACAATGAAGGAGACTATTGTTAATGCATCATCAGCTTAAAAGCCCAAATGCATCCAAGAACTGATTGTTTCTTTCGTTCAGAAGTGATCCCTTGTTGAAGAGTGCTTTCTGTTTGGTTCAAAATCAAAGATTTTCGTATCTATGTGAAAACATTGCACAAAGGTTTCGGGTGTGTGCATATGGCCCCATTTTCATTCGCTACATCCAAGATTATTGCATGTGGGCCAGTCTAATTTTGCTGTATTATAAAGAGGGGTAGCAATGATTGAATCCAAATATTTATTCTTTCAACAGTTCATGGTTACAGATATTTACCAGTTCTGTGCTGTTTTGGTTCCCTTGGTAACAGGAGGCACTATTCTCACCRTAGTAACCACATCAGCACTGACAAAAGCTGTCAATATCAAAGACACAGGYGTRGTTTTGGGRCTTTCAATGGCMTGYAACTCTCTAGTAAGAAGTCTTTCACCAACCCTAGGTGGATATCTCTTCAAAATGTATGGCTGGCCCATATTTGGATTGTTTGGGTTCRTTGTAAATTCTGCAATAGCTATTTATTTGTTTATATTTGGAAGAGAAAACCTTCGTGGCCCTGATAGAGAATGTATAAATAAGTTTTAAAACTACAAAATTGAGAGAAATGACAAATATGTGTATGTTAGTATTGGATCATGTGAAAGTTTTAAAAAGTCTTTAGGGAAAAAAGTTAGYTTTCTTGTTGATTCATCATACATCAAAGGTCCACAAGGGCTCAACGTCGTGYAACATGGGAGGTTGGACATGGTTTAGATAAAGTCTCCTTTCTCCTGACAACAGGTTTTGGCAATATTTTAATGTGACAGCACCTTTTTACATTTATAATTTATTATAGTTAAATTTTACTTAGAAATTAAATTMGCATCCCAAATGGCTATAAATAAGGTTGTACGAACAAGGTAAAAAATGCACATAATATATTAATTATTAATTAATACATCTCAACTTTACATTGTAAATAGTCAAGTGACAAATTTTAAAAAACTGTCAAAGTGTTTTTGTTCAATAAATATGTTTATAAACTGACCATGTATGTGTTTAATTATCTTTATACAACTTTTCAGTAAAATCAGACGTTTTGATTGGTTGGCTTTCGTGTGTTATCAAAGTATAGATACACATATTACGTCAAAACTAATTGTTTGTTGTATAAAACAGATAGATCTCATTTTTCCGTGCGTGTGTACTCTAATAGATACACAGATGACGTCAAAATGTAGTGAGAACAACAGTCACGCACTCGACTGCATCTCGTGCATACTTTTTTGTTCTCACTACATTTTGACGTCATCTGTGTATCTATTAGAGTACACACGCACGGAAAAATGAGATCTATTTGTTAAATAACAATCAAAACTATTCCTACAAAAATATAAATTGTTATTGCTCCCATTTTTGTTTAGTGCAATTCATGTGTCTATGAATTACAGCGGAAATCGTTGCATTACGACCTCTTTGTTTTGAAGTTTGTCTGGATTTTGTTCTCTCTTTCAATCTGAGGGGCGGAGCTTTTCGAAAACTAGTTCAATCATTGGCTGATTAGTATCAAGCTCCGCCCCCAAGTTGCAGAAAAACTAAATCCCAACTATTTCCTTTGAACATTGAAGAAGYGATGCAACGGTTTCTGCTGTAAAAAAGCAAACTGAACTGCTCATTGAAGACTATTCACAGAACTCAGAATTGCCATAGTGCCAAAGTCAGTAGTCCATGCAAGCACAAGGTCAAACTCAGTGCTTTGCAATGTACTATGTACATTCAATTACAGTGAATTGAAAAGCATGAAAAAATAAAGCATGATAAAAAACAAATGAAATTTGTGTTAATTATTCTCACACAACAAAATTGTAATATTTGTGAACTTTTATAGGGTATTTTTTGTTGATAATACTAGTTTAATTTATTTGTAACCTTGATGTTTTTTTAGATGGATTTGCTTCTCAGGTTGGTCAATGAACAATAAACATTCCAGAAATATTTCTAGGTGGTCATGACTTTTCAATTCACACTCTAAAACCAAAATACATTTGGTTCATGATAGTTTGCAAAGTTTGATCACTTGTCCTATATTGTGACCCAGTGTTAATTATAGTTATCTATGTTTTCTCATCATAGCTCCTCTACTAAAACCTCTTCCAGAACCTCGTCCTGCGCCTCTTCCTAGRGTATTGGGGCTTCTAGAAGCCCCACCCCTTCYGTCCAAGGGAATAGCCCTTTGCTTYGGRGGAGCTGGTCGATTCACTGTGTTTTGACACTTTGGAATGTGTCTTTCTGCAACAGTTGGGTTAAATCGTCGTTGACAAAATCTGCATAGTACGTAGTCAGGGTTTTCACTTGGTGGAGGTGGTGGGAGGTCCGACAGTTTGCCACCTTTGTCAAGATGTTGTTTTACTTTTTTGGCATCCCGTATTGCTCTTATGAATTCCTCTGTTAATGAAAAGTTGCATTAATCAGTAAAACTGGAGTAATCAAGGAAATTTCTATTTTAACTGATAACAAAATCTGAGGAAGCTACTTGGAATTGAGATCAAACAAAACTCATTCAATCATACAGTGGAATTTCCACTTGCAGACGCCCTCGTTAACCGACAGCTCTAATTATTGACAGCTTTCTAAATTGAGATCAAACAAAACTTTTGAACATTCAATCATACAGTGGAATTTCCAGACTTGCAGACGCTCTCGTTAACCGACAGCTCTAATTATCGACAGCTTTCTAAAACCCCAATTTTATATTTCTTCCATAAAAACACTGTGTTCACACTTTCTATTAGACGTTCTTGTAAGATGACAGCTCTAATTATGAACAGCTTTCTAAAACCCTAATATATTTCTTCCATAAAAACACTGTGTTCACACATGTCTGCTTACAGGAGATTCAACTGTAGTTAATATGGTTCAATGAACAAAAAAACTGTGTCCCACCCCATCAGTTGCTCCTAAATTAGCTAGAAGAATTACGGTCATCTCGCCCCATTGCCATCTTGCCCCCACCATACCGTCTCGTTCCACCATCTCGCCCCCCACTATGGCATCTTGCCCCACCATCATTTCAACAGTTAAACAAAGTTAAACTTCAAGACTTCATGGGGGCTAAATGACATAGACAGTGATATCAATAGGGGCGAGATGGTGGGGTGAGATGGCATAGTGGGGGCGAGATGGCAATGGGGCGAGATGACCGGTAACGAGCTAGTATTATTTTAAATGTTATTATAGTGTATTACCATGTTTTGACCTCCAGTGGCTCTTTTGTTTTGGTGGATCAGGCTTTTTCTTGTGTTGGAAAGCTGCTAACTCAGTACCTTGAGTCCTAGCTTTTGTAGAATCAAACACCTTTCTCTGCTTGTTGCCGACCTTCTGGCATATCTTCGCATGCTTCGAGAGTCTGTCAGCTGCAAATTTGCGGCCACAATTACCGCATGGGACCAGATTACCTGGTGAATCCTCATAATCTTCTTGATACCCTCCTGCGGCAGCATTATACTGTTCATAATTAACCTTTGGGCTACTATAATTATTGTTATTATAATCAAATTGTTGTTTTTGTGGCTTCATGGAACTTCCTTTAGGTGATGCAGATGTTGCGAGAGGTGAGAGTCTTGCAGGTGGACGTCTTGTCCCATTTGTGGATGTTTTTCCACGTGATTTATTACGGGATGATTTCTCAGTGTTTTTGTTTTTGAATGTATTTTGTTGTTCATAGGAAGGGCTGCTACTTCTTTCTAAAGTAAATGTCCCTTCTTTTGAAAAACCAAAATTATTTTTGTTGGGCTGGCCTCCTGCTGTAGAACTGAAATTTGGATTGGAATTCAATGAAGACAACCGAGTACCTTTAATTTAAACAGATAGAAATTAATAAATTAATAATAATAAAAAAYCATAAATCTGAATGGATTGCATTTTAATCTAATGAAACAGGAAAATAGTACAAAACAGGACTTAATTTATTGTACAAGAAAGTACCATTAAAGATAAATTACTTCACACTGTATATTGCATAATACTCTGCGAACAGAGGTACTTTTCTCACCCGCCGAGAAGCGAGAAAAGTACCTCTGTTCTCAGAGTTTGCATAATTGTACATTACATATAAAGAATACATTACCTGCATTTACAGGCATACTTTTTGATGATGGTCGACAGGATCTTAAGTGAACGTCCAGTCTATCTGGTAAGAATGTTCTTCCACAGTTTGGGCAAGGTARTAATTGACTCTGGGACGACTCAAATGCGAGCTGGTTCATTCGATCCAAGTCCATTCCACCACTGCCGTCACCAAGGCTTGGTAAGATTTGTGGCTTCACAGGAAGCGGTCTTCTCATATTCTTAGGTAATTGATTATTTTCCAGGACCCACTTCTTTAGACATTGTGGTTCATGTATGCTTATTGACTTGGTGCCAAATTCTCGTCCACAGATGTAACACACAACGGTTCGAGGTTTCAGGGGTTGCCTTGGGCTTGGAGTGCGGTAAGAGGCTGCAGACCCTGGACTGCCTGACTGCGCCTTGGAAGGGTCAAAGTTTTTTGAAGGTTTTGCTGCGTTATTTGAACGGCAGCTTCTCTGGTGAACTGGCAACCTATCTGGATTAAAAGTCCTTCCACAATTCTCGCAAGGAACAAGTTGCATTTGTGATGCCTCAAAAGCCATTTGATTCATTGTTTCAAGTTGGTTTCCACGTTCTCTGGAGTTGTTGGACAAACCACCAACTCCCCATCCCTGAGGCTGTCTAGGGGGTGGTCGACGTAGATGCTTCGGCAGCTGATTATTTTCAATTTGCCATTTTTCCATGCACTTTGGGAGATGGATGGAAATRCTGGAWGTTCCATACAAACGACCACAGATGTAGCATACAACATGAGCTGGTTGCTTCGGTGGCATATTTGAGCTAGCACCTTTTCAATAAATTTGAAAGCTTGACAGTCTCCAAAAAACGTTTCCAAACAAAAAACTTTGAAGTTACCATGAATGAAAGTTATTAGAATACAAATACATCACCGACCTTTTATTCTTTGTTTGAATGTTATCAAGAAGTTCTGCAGCAAATTATCAAATCTTTGGGTTAGTTATTTTAAAGTTACACCTGGTGGTTGCATTCGACTTTATTCTGTTTTCTTGAGCTTTTTTATTCGGCCTTTTTATAATCTCACGATAATCCCATCAACTCCATTTACGAAACGTTCGTTTTTCAAGCTGGCAAATCTTTTTTAAGACGAAAATATGGTGATAATATCGAGATACGACCAGTTATTTGCCTAGTAACCGCGAAACTTTAGTCTTTTTACCTCTCCAGACCACCTTATCGCCAATCTTTTCCCGGTAGCATTTGAAAAACTAAACCWTTCCCATCTTCACCCTTCTTTAAAGTTGCTATTATCCAGATATTCTTGCAAAAAAAATATTTTTTAAGAGCTACTTTTAACCYAACATAAGCAAAGAGGCGTCGTAACCTACTAACTAGGCAACAAAGACGATTTGAATCCGAAAAATTGCCGAAATAATTCGTTTCATCTTCGTAATATTTTTATAAATCCGATAAGGAGTCGAATGAAAWAATCCAATCGATATACGCTCGAGTACTCAAAGAGCCAATCGCGCATGTGTCAACTTTGAAAATAAGTTGTGACTTGAGGCACGAAGATAAAAAATGTGGCTTTCGAAGCTTAAAACCTCTCGTTTAATACACCCTTCCAAGGTAAAAGAACCTTAGGAACCTACTTTCATATTCAGTGCTTAATCAACCTGCTCAAAATTATTTTTCTTYAGGTTTTAGGCTTGGGGAGTACGGCAATCCGTGCGACATGTAGTARAAATTTTCATTTCAAGATCGAAGGAAGAAAGGGAGAAAACAAGACATCCAAAAGCGATGTAAGTTTGTAAATTGCAGAATAAATGTGATTTTCATTGTGCAAAAACTATACTCTTTATAGTGTTTTACCGAGGAAATGGATTGATCACTATTTTTTGTTATGTAATCCGAGTTTGTTGATTTGATTATGCAATCAAAATGGCGTTCAATGCGACTCAATTTAGTTGTCTTTGTCACATTCACATTTTTCTCTTTTCCACTCTTTCTTTTCTATTTATGTTGATTTTACCTTATTGATTTCCTCAAATTTTCCTTTTGAAATTTACATGTAAGAATATAATAAAGTTTTATTTCCATTCACATGCATTTGCTGTGGTGCTCTACAATGGTGTAAGCTTACAACTTGAGATCCTGGCATACATGCATTAGCTTGCACTATTTTTAGCTTTTCCAGTCAAGATTTAAAGAGTAAGTCTATGTCATATTTACAAAGCTATCTTATGCTTATAGATTGCTCGAGAATACCCAGTGGTAGATCACTCCTATGATGCTATTGTTATTGGTGCYGGYGGWGCTGGATTGCGAGCTGCATTTGGYTTGGCMCAAGAAGGATTTAAGACAGCRTGTATTACAAAACTRTTCCCTACCAGATCACATACTGTAGCTGCTCAAGTGAGTATAATATAAGAAWAATGCATGTAAGACCTCTCTTTATAGTAAAGTTACGAATATAAGGAYTGCATGACACTATGAGATACATGATATTAGGTCCGTAGGCTGGCTATGTYTTCTTACTGATTCTGAGCTGCTTTTTCCATTTCTTGGCATCATTTTGCCATAACAGACTGATTTATAGATTAGAGTGGGTGCGTTCACGTGACCTTGAGCTGCAAAGATYGTGAAAAAACAGTCTGACATTAAGGCTGGAGTGGCTGCTGTATTCTATCATAAACAGGTTATTCGTAATTATGTAGCACCTGCTTTACAGGCYTGACTAATRGCACATTGCCTTCACAGGGGGGAATCAATGCAGCACTTGGTAATATGGAACCTGATGATTGGAGATGGCACATGTAAGTTGTCRACAGTCAGTAGTTACAATRGTTTATGGAAGAAATTAGCATTCAATTATATTTCATTATTAAATCAGGTATGACACGGTTAAAGGTAGTGACTGGCTTGGCGACCAGGATGCAATCCATTACATGACAGAAGAAGCCCCAAAAGCAGTGATAGAGGTGAATATACTATACCATTGTTACAAAACCAGTCCGGAGAAAAAAAACTACCATAAAAACTAACTGCAATATAAACAATAGCCTGCAGTCAATCAACTTGGTACTCTGGCGCCAATCACTGATTTGATTGAAAATTTCATTGACAGCAGAAATTTATATTTTGCTAATTAATTAAGTTATTGTACATCTTGACTTTTGTCTGGGTTAGTCGTTTAGCAATGTAACACATTGGGGATTAGCTAAGAGTGCCTAAAATTATTGTCTAACCGCCGAATGAGTGATGTCAACTTTCCTGTATTTTTGCTTATGTCACTATATTATATGTTGAAAAATCTTGAGTCCTTGCTCTTCAAGGTGTCTTGAACACAGAGTTATTGAGATCATTTATACAATCATAAGAAGTCTATTTACTATATTGTATTAAAAGAAATTCCATAGATATTTTATTGTTTATTCTCATGCAAACTTATAAAAATTGACCTACTTTCTCTGTCTCCTTCATCTCTGATTAAATTAGAGAGAATTAAATTTTAGATATGCACTTTCAGGGTAAAACACTTATCATTATATTCACCAATATTTATCTCTGTTAGCTCGAAAATTATGGTATGCCATTCAGTCGAACGGAAAAGGGAGAAATCTACCAGAGAGCATTTGGTGGTCAAAGTTACGACTATGGTAAGGGTGGCCAGGCACATCGATGCTGTGCTGTAGCTGACAGAACTGGCCACTCTCTACTTCATACCTTATATGGRCAGGTAAATTGGGCAGTTTCTCCAATCAGAGTTTAATAAACTAATTATTATTAATTATCACATTAATAGAGTGCAAACGCTAAAATCATGAAAACAATTTACTAAAAATTTACTTAAAAAAATGAAAACAATTTTTACTTAATAACTCATAGTGCTTAATAACTTAATAGTGCTAAATTCTACTGATGTATGAGAAATCCTTTGTTTTCTATTACATAATCCATTCTAGTGGATATAGCAGTATGAGCACTATTTGGTTACATAGTGTACTTTTTCATCATTTTAGTAGGTGTTTCCACTCTACTAAATAGGCAATTATAATAAAGAAATCCATTTATAATTATAATAATTTAACAATACAGTATTTTGCTTGTTATCTATTTTATTGTTAACTGAATCCCTTCAATGAGCTCATTGATTTTGAAAAACTCAAATTATATTATTTTGTGACATCTCACTTCAATTTCTCATAAAAATTCTGTTGTTTTTAATTGCATAATCCCTACTAGTGGATTTAGAGCTATTGTGCACTATTAGTTAGTACTTTTTCATACTTTTAGTCTTTCCACTTGCTAAATAAGCAATAATAATGAAGAAATTCATTAGCTTAATCATTTAACATAACAGTATTTTGCTTGTAAGTTGTTATTTATTTTGTTAACTGAATCCCTTCAATGAACTCATTGATTTAGAAAAACTCAATTTATATTATTTTGTGACATCAGTACTCTATTAATAGTTTAATCAATGTTTTTGTTGATTTTGTAGTCATTGCGATATGATTGTGAATATTTTATCGAGTACTTTGCCTTGGATTTGTTGATGGACAATGGCAAATGTGTTGGTTGTATAGCACTATGTGCTGAGGATGGCTCACTTCACAGATTCAAAGCAAACAACACTGTCATGGCCACAGGGTAAGTCAACATAGAGCACCTCAAAGTCACCTCTTTTATMGTCTGAAATATTCATTTAAATCGCTTTTTATTTCACTCTATGGAAAGTGACAACCARGGCATGTCTGCTCGAAAGTTTTTGTCATGTTTGTACTTGTTTTACTGTATTAAAAGATCATGGAGTTCARCCATGTTAAATGAAAAGATTTGTAATTCAAATGAGAGAAACTTGCATTTGTCTTTCTGGACTTTTGTACTAAGTAATTGTAATTGCTTCGGAAGTCCATAGATTTGTTCACAATTCAAACTCGCATTGGCTTGCAACCCCATTTTGACAAGAACTTATGTCTTTAAATGTGTGACTTGAGACTAACAGTTCTACATGTTCTATATTTTTTTCAACATAGGGGATATGGACGTGCATATTTCTCATGCACCTCTGCACATACCTGCACAGGCGATGGTACTGCCATGGTTACACGGGCTGGGCTGCCTAACCAGGACTTGGAGTTTGTACAGTTTCATCCGACTGGTATGTATTTTGTATCTTTGGTCTTTTCCATTGTTGGATTCATTCATTATCTATTTTCTCATCCCATCTATTTTCAATTCCGTTCATTCATTCATTATCTATTTTCTTATCCTATTTATTTTCCCTTCCATTTATTCATTCATCCATTTTTCCAATACCATAACAATTTACTTGTTTATGTAGGTATCTATGGAGCAGGATGTTTAATCACTGAAGGTTCAAGAGGCGAAGGAGGATATTTGATCAACAGTGAGGTAGGTAACACCAAGTTCATTTATCATCTAGAGATACAGGTTTCCACATAATTAAAGCTTGTCAATCAATTTCTCAAGGGTGAACGTTTCATGGAAAGATATGCACCAACAGCTAAAGATCTTGCATCAAGAGATGTTGTCTCCAGAGCTGAAACAATTGAAATAAGAGAAGGAAGGTAAGTTTTCTCACTGACACTTCATGAACATTCATTATTGTCGACAAAAGAGTTCCCTGTTCCAAAGGGACTGCATTTTTTTACACCAGAAATTTGCAAATTCAGACACTTATTAATTTTAAAATTTTGAATATAATTTGTTTAGTATAATGAAAATCCTAAAGCTGATCATTTTCTAGTTTACTTTATACTGCTCTTTGTTTGATGACCACTGTTGAAATAGTTATAAAATATTCTCTCATTTGCAGGGGAGTTGGCCCAAATAAAGACCATATTTACCTTCAATTGTCACACTTACCACCAGAGACACTCAAAACTCGCTTACCAGGAATCTCAGAAACCGCCATGATATTTGCTGGTGTTGAYGTGACAAGAGATCCAATCCCAGTCCTTCCCACAGTGCACTACAACATGGGTGGAATCCCAACTAACTTCAAGGGTCAGGTAATTAGATAGTTAACCCTAACCCTTCCTAACAAAAGCTTAAGGAACTGATGAGGATACATATCTGTCAACAGGTCGTCACACATAAGGACGGTCAGGATGTAGTTATTGATGGTCTGTGGGCTGCGGGTGAAGCAGCCTGTGCATCTGTCCATGGTGCAAACCGTTTAGGTGCCAATTCCCTACTAGATCTTGTTGTATTTGGCCGTGCTTGTGCWAGATTTATTGCAGAGGAGAGCAAACCTGGTGAAGTCTTGCCTGAACTTAAACAGGTAAGTTTGAGAATCTTCTTGATTCAATTGTCATTCTATTTGAGCATAGTTGTTTCCAAAGACAATATCTTTTATACATGTATTTGTCACTCAGACATGTATCCATCAAATTTTTTTTTGGTGAAACACTCTGTTCATGGACACTGTATTTTATTTTTCTTTGCAGACTGCAGGAGAAGAATCAGTTGCAAACCTTGACAAAGTCCGCCATGCAAATGGTAACACTCCCACAGCAGAGTTGAGACTCAAAATGCAGAAGGTAAGAACATCCGTCTCCCACCCCACATCACCCCTCAAGGGAATTGCATTCAAGTGGAGGTGACTGAGAAATAGTGAATAAACACAAATAGTTTTAAATTCTGCTTTTTTTTCACTTTGGATGATACAAACATTTTGAAGGAATTAGAGAAGGTCACCTTTTCATTAAAATATTTTCCAAAATGGGAAAACTACAATAAAGATTGAATTACGAGAATTCTTATTGTATTATTTTGTTTATTGTAATATTAGATTATGCAAGAAAATGCTGCAGTATTCAGAACAGGACCTGTGCTTGATGAAGGATGCAAACTTATTGATGATGTATACCAACAGCTTAGTGACTTGAAGGTAAGACTAGACGCTGTAAGGGCGCTAAGTTGGGCTAGCTAGTATTATAGTACATAATGGGAAATATAGAAATAGATGTGTTAAACGGAAATTAAAGTATTTTTGCATCAGTCTATTCAAGATATGCAAATGTCACCAAAACAACAGATATACGGCACCATCTTGTCTTGTACCTTTCATGAAGTGAGGTGTAATTCCCAAACGATGCATAAGAGAAAGATATACAGATAGATATATATGGATGAATGGAGAGGAAGAACTAAAGCCAGTCTAGCATATGGATACAGTTGTGTAAAAAGATAAATTTAACTCCGTAAAAAAGTAGTGAAACAACTTACCGACGTTTCGGACGTTAATCTTTTGTCTTAAGTCCAACGAAGGATTAACGTACGAAACGTTAGTAAGTTATTTCACTTCTCTTTTACGGTGTTAAATTTATCCTTTTACACAACTGTTTCTTTAGAAACACCGACGCAGCTCACACTAGTTTACCGCTAGTTCCCACCATTTAGCCTATGGATAGACTATTAGTCTAGTRTTAAGYTTGCTTCAAGGAAGCTTTGTAGTAAAACTATTGCTTGTTTGTATTTCTAGTTATATGACCGTGGCATGGTATGGAACACTGACCTTATTGAGGCACTAGAACTACAAAATTTACTACTGAACTCAATCCAGACCATACAGAGTGCTGCAGCAAGGAACGAGAGCAGAGGTGCACACTCAAGGGAAGATTACAAGGTAAGTGGTTGGTCCTCTGGTTTCATTCTCATCCCAGTTCTCTCTTTTCTCATTCCTTCCATCTTTTTAAAATTTCCAATCAACAAAATCTTTCACCGTTTTATTTTGCGCTTGTTTTTCGGCTTGTTCTCATTACCGCCAGTACTCAATTTTCAAACGTTCTTCTCAACCTTCTTCTCCCTTTTTCTCATTTTCAATTCCCTTCCCTTTATTGTCGTGTAAAACGATAAATTTAACGCCGCAAAAAGGTAGGTGAAAGAACTTACTGACGTTAATCCGACGAAAGATTAACGTCCGAAACGTCAGTAAGTTATTTCACCTACTTTTTTTACGGCGTGTTAAATTTATCTTTTTACACAACTGCTTCTTTGGAAACRCCGACGCAGMTCACACTAGTTTACCGCTASTTCCCAMCACCTTCCATTTATTTCYTTTTGYTTYCCATTKGTTTATTTTCACAATAATGAACCCCYTTTTTATCGTTACTTWAAGGATCGTTTRGATGAGTAYGACTATTCAAAGCCTCTTGAAGGACAAACAAAGAAACCTTACGATCAACATTGGAGAAAACACACGCTGTCCTGGGTAGACTCGTCATCCGGCAA